TCCCTTTCCACGCTGTTTCTTGGCCGGTAGAAGAGTGGAAGATGAAAGCGGATGCTTCACGTGCAGTCAAGCAGGAGCTTCAGTTCCGAGCGCTGCCTACTTTTGCGTGGGTAATCTGCTACCACAAGGCCATCGCACTGGAGAACGTCAAACCCCTCGTAGGATATCCTCGTGTTAACATTTGCATCGAGATAAGCTATGAAGATCGAGAAGAAAGGATGCGGGAAAGAGATGCAACAAGGGACGCAACAAACAAGCTCATTGAATACAATCCTGACATGGCAGAGCTCATAACGCTTGCTACACGTTGTACATTTCTACGAATGGCATACAAAGAATCGCTGATCATGAAGAGGTTTATCGAATTGCTCTCGTGAACTCTGCTGATATTGTTACCAGGACCCTATTGGAATCTTTCTTCCACACTATTTGCATGCATGCAGATCAGATTCAGACGGAACAAGTTTTATCCGAATACCCAGACCCAGAGTTTTGGTCCTTATTGCCCAAGAAGGAGATTCACGTAGCTAGGATGAACCTAGTATTACAGAAATCCTCCACGTTCAAAGCACGAGTGTGGTCTACTCTAGGGATCCCAGATGATGTCGAGTATCCTCATCTAGACGACACCTACTTCAGAAAGATCAAGCTCTCGCTCCTCTCCATGGATCCAAAGGGACTGAAATTCCTCTACGTTGCGGAGATAGAAGCGGTTGAGCATGTTCGGTTCTTCAAGGCGATTGGGGCCATCTTGTCAGTGGAAGGTGAGCAGATCGATTTGGATTATGATTGTCTACGGGAAAACAGCTCAGATCTCTTTCCGTTGGAAGCATTTGTACCTTCAAAGAAATGAACATCCGGACTGGGTAGCGACGTCAATGACATTGTAACGACAACAAAGCATAACTGAGAGATCCAAGACAACCCATGTAAGTAGCAAAGAGTCAATTTTCAATCTTTACCGATGTTGAACAAATACAGTCCATACATCATCGCATCGCATCGACACAATTCACTGCAGCAGGTTGTATACACAATAGCAAGCAAGGAAAAGGGGATGTATCCTAGCCTTTTCAATCTCTTTCTCTCTCTCTGTCTTTCTCTCAAACTCAACCGACAGGCAAAGGGGGCTTCATCGTGACCGATTGCTCATCCCCTTCAATCAAATGCTCCTCCATGCTCTGCCCAATGTCGCAGCTTGGGGTCGGAGAACTCAGACGCAATCGCCTCCTCCCACATGCGATCCATCTCTGGCGTGAAGAAGTTCTTGCCACTGCCCACCTTTCCTTTCTGGATCACTGAGCCTTCCTTGTCCGACCTGCAGTAATGCGTGCCACACATGACCTGACTCTTGAACTGATCATTTCCCCATAGCAGGTAATTGAACTTGTCTTGAATCTTCTTCATGTGATCAAAGCCACACTTCTCTGTCACTCGATCCAGCTCCTCCTCGTTGAGCTCCACGTCAACAAACTTAGCTATCTTTTTCACTCCCCCGCGCAAGTCCTTCCTCATGTCGTTGTAGTGCATGAGCAGCACGTTGGGCTCGTTCCTGAACTTCCACCAAGACTTGGCATAACCGAAGTAGAGGTAATGCAGAATTCCTCCTGGCAGAAGGTCTTTCAAGCATTGCTCCTTGCTTCCATACGAGGGCGGGAAGTCCCCCCATATCTTCTTGTACTCTGGTCGGTGCTTGGCAAAGAAGGGATAGAAGCTCGCTACCACGTCACGTCCTTCCCGCACCATCGCGAGATACTTCACACCAGGATACTCTCTCACTGGCAGAACATCGTCGGAGGTGCCGTTCTCCTGTCGCGGGCCGAAGTGAGACTTGAACACACGGAAAGGGTAATCAGGATTATCCCAGAAGTCCTTGAGCAACGACCCGTCTTCCAGAATGGTGGTATTCATGAGCTCCTTGAGCTCTTGCCAAGTTTGCCCTGGCTTGTGCTTGTAGCCCACCCAGGGTGTGTTGACATTGACCTCACGGTAGTTGTTGTCAAGCCCTTTGGTTCGGATCTGGTGGGCGCAATACAGCATCCACGTGGTACCTGACTTACAGGCAGGGGTCACGATCAGGTCGCCATCTCTTGCCCATGTCCTAAACTCTTCCAACTCGTATGGAGCCGGGTCAAAGTAGGGGGGCATTGTACCGCCCATCATCGCCCATGGAATGTATCCATTTGGAAGTTGCAGTAAAAGCTCGGGCTTTGTTTTGAGGAAATAAGCAGCGATCACCGCAACGAGCAAGCCGATGGTAGCGCTCACTTGGATCCAGTTGTGTCGCTCTTCTCCGTTGCTCTTCTTCATGAAAGTGCTCAGCTCGCCTCTCGCTCGCTCCTCTCTCGCGCTCCTGAGAGCTCTTGCAGCTTGAGTGTGTAAAGACGTGTTTTTTAAGTAAAGTAGTACTACCGCAGCATCAGTTAAAATGTTGTAAGATCGTGCATTCCTTAGCCTCCTAGGACCCATTGTTGGCTGAATAAGTTTCTAGGACCACCTATCACCCCCACCCACTGCCGAGTTCCAAACTATTATGTTTGTCCCTCCCCGTCTAGAACAGAAAAATTAACTTGCTTTCAAATTGTGTATTCCTTTTTGCAAGTGCCATCTGTTCATTTCAAAAATGACCAAATCATTTCAAGAAATTTCCACATTGATCATGAAATTTGAATATGTCCACTTTACTGTATAATGTATTATTGTTGTAACTTGAACAGTAAATGGCGGGCCCGGGCCCGGGCCACGGGCTGCCCGGCGTTGGCCGGTAACCGTTCAGTTGCGGGCCGTGCAGGCGTTACGGATTGCCGGTCCATGACACGAGACGAAGAGCCGAAGTTAACTCCCGGTAGTACATGCAATGCCTGAAATTCTATGCCGAGAGACGCGCGCCCGTTCAAATTCACTACTGAGATTTGAAATCTGAAGCGATTTCGTGAAAAACTGACGCACTCCTTGCCAAGTTGGTCTCAGGATGAGAACCTTCAAATAACTTTACTACAGAAGGAAACGGATTGTCATGCTTCTTCCTAGCACCTGGTCCTACTAGAGTCTACCATGAGTCAGTAAGGACCCAACAAGACTGAGTCCCATAGGACCACGCTGTCGTAGCCCTCAGGTAAGACTTCGGTTCTAGGAAAATTCCATTCCTACCCTACCTACCCTACCTACCCTACCTACCCTACCTACCCTCCCTGGTGACTCAGTGCTCGAGCTGACTTGTTAACCTTCAAGGACCCAGGTGGACATGGGGGGTTGTTTGTTGACTACCCTACCCCTTCTATAATTTTTTTGCTCCCACACCTGGTACAATCTGTTCACCATCAGTACGAGGTTTTTTTATCTCCCCACCCCTCAACTAAACCTCAAGACTACCCACCCCATGGAATCGCTTCTTTCCTTATCGAGGTTTGTGTTTGTACCCCCACCCCCACCCCCACTCTTGCACGTCCGAGCGTCTGCTCCCCCCCTACCCCCTGTTTCACTCAAAGTCGGCTCTGACCCAGTACCTGTACCCCACCTCTTTCCAGTTAAGTACCCCACCATATCACCTCCCTACCCATTTCATGCCACCCCCTTCCTTTCCTTCCACCCAGTCCACCTGTGCTGAGCTTTCTCCCCCCAATATACCCCCACCTCCTTCGCTGCCTCCTTCCCTGTTCCCTCCCTCCGTCCTTGGCTAGGCGTTGCTATCCTACACTCACGTCAAACTCTTATCTTGCTCTCTGAGTTTCCTTCCTCACAATATTTCCTCACGCTTCTAACTTGTGAATGGAATAATCCTTCGCTCGTCTTCCACCGAATCTTTTCTCTTCATCGCCACTCCCGCCCATCTGCCTTCCTCATCAGCCCTTCTCACCCGAACCCCGTCCCTCTTACTGCACAACCGCCATGAAGCAGACCAAGAACGAAGTCCTGATCCAAGATGCTGCGTCCACCCTCGTACAGCTCGCCTCGAAGCCATCTCAAGATGAGTCCAGCCCCAGCGACCTGCTGGATATCGGACATCTCGAGAGAGAGACGGTCTCCCTGTTCGAGCAGCACGTTCTCGAGCCGTTCCTCCTTGAGTCGTGCAAGAATGTCAACGGGACCTCTCCCATCGTCTTCGACGACGTTTTCAGCCACGTCAAGTGCATCAAGAAGTGCGGCTCGTTCCTGTGCAAAGCAGACAACTCCCAGCTCCTGGTCGGGGTGCCCTACGGCAAGACCGCAGTATCGCAGCTTGAGCAGGGACGCACGTACACTACCGTGTCCGGGGAATACCGCTTCTACGTACACAAGATCTCACATCAAGGTTCTCTAGGGATGCGGCCGACTCCCGTCGAAGATGGCGAGTGCTTGGATCCTCGGCGAATCACCCTGACCCTCAGCATAGACCACATGGATCAGAGTCTCAACGAGACGCGAGCAGTCGACAACTCCAAGACGATGAGCCTCGTGCTCTTCCGATCCATGAAGCTGCAGAACGGAGATAGGAAGCAGCTCCTGCAAATCAATGGCCCCTTGACGGGAGAGGAAGTGGATGACTTTCTCAAGCACTTCATGTCTGAGGTCATGATCACTCCCATCGAGTGGAAGGAAGGTTCTTCCATCTACGGCGTCACAGACTCCGTGCTGCTTCACGAGCAGGGGTGGGGGCTTGACACAAGCGTGCTCACCGAGCTGACGGACGCGAAGGTGCTCCAGAACTTTGCCATAGTGCTCAACGTTGACATCGAGTGCTCTTTCTCGACGCTTGACGAGGCCTGCTCAGTGTTCAGCTGTCTCCCGGCGGCAGAGCAGGCGCGAGCAAGCAGGAGGTTCTTAGACTGGATCGTCTCGAATACTCAGGGGGGACGTAAGCACTGGCGGCGAAAGATTCTGGAAGACTTTGACGAAGCTGTTTTACAGCATGAGCTTGACATCAAGAACTCCAAGTTTCGCAGCACCATCCTCAAAGGCCTCGGTAAGCGCCAGACGGCAACTCTACACAGGACGGGGATCTTGCAGATGCAGATGGTGAGGAGGCCGCGGGAGCTGCGGGTGGCAGTGGCGCGGAAGCTGGTCGAGCTCCATCGGGCTGCGATGAGCAACGGATGTGGTCAGCCCTTGTTCGTGCCGCTCGCTTTGAGGCACAACCGATGCCTCAAGCGACGGATCTTGAGCAGCCCTGCGGCAGATCCAATGGCGTCAGCCAAGGCGGAGAAAGGACAGCAATGTCAGGCGGGCAGCGCTTTCAAGCTTCAGAACCTCGGACAAGCGTCGTCGGGGCTTCCGATATCAGCTCTGGTCTCTCCGGAGCCTTCAACTGAAGAGACTCGGAGCGCCAAACGCATGAAGCTCAGCTCTCAACCGCTCCAAACTACCTGGGAACCGTATCTCCAACCCAAGCTATCGCAAGACCTGCAGGCAGCAGCAAGCTTGTGCAGCCCCATCACAGTTCCTCTCATGCTGCCGGGTTGGATCGAGCTCGTGCCGCAGATGCTTCCTATGTACACCTTCCAACCGAGAGCATCAGATCTGGCAGAGCTGCTTCTGTCTCAGAGCGATCTTTTGCGGGCATCAGCAATCGACATTTCCGCGATTGCCCAGTTGAAGCAGTAGGAGGGAAAGCAACTGAAGCTGGAAAGTTACATGATTGATTGAGAAGGATGTATCGGAGTGCCATGTCATCAAAGAAAGACTCGGTGGTCTCAGATGTAACTTAGTGGAAGTGATTTGGTCCCGTGACCATCCTGGTGCATCTTGTACACTAGTTAGCTACCCATCGCTTATGTTGATCAGAGAAAGACCATCAGCCTGGCCGGACTCTGATTCTTAGTACGATGCTGTAATACTTCGCTCATAATTGGAAATAAATTCCTCCAGGTTGAACAATTATGATTTGGACCCCGCCGGACTGTGGTAGCCCGGAAGCTGCCAACCGTGAAGTCACAGTGAAGGAGTTTGAACTGCAGCCCGCGGGGGCGGCCTCCGATGCACGCCGGCCGGCAGTGCAGGGCACGCGGCCCCCGGGGCGGCCCGCGGACGGCTTTTAGTGATCAACTTGGCAAGCCACTGATTGAAGCCGGGTTTCAGCCAGTCCCCCTGTACTGTAGACTGAAGATTTTCCAACTCAATCTAGCTCGACCGCCGTCCCGGGCCCTGGCCCTTGGCTCGGTGCCGCTGGCAAGCTGGGCCCGGCGGCGGCCCGGGTCACCCGACCGTCGGCCCGGGTCACCACGAGTCAAGTTTGGGACTAGTAAGGATGGATCATCGGATGGCATGGGACTCCGATCACCGGCGGATCAGTCACTACCGTGACTCACCTACGAGTACTGACAGTGAGTCAGTAGTGTCCCACTGGCCCGGTGAGACTCTGCCAGGCCGCGGGCAGGTGCCGGCCGGGCCGGGCGCGCGGCTTGCGGTTGAAATTTTTTTAGTTTGACGTTGGTTGTCAATTTTTTTTGACTGACGGTTTGAGTCGGCGCCACAATGCGGGCCAGCGCGTTCAAATACAAGAGAGAGAAGCAAGGAGCTGCGCGAGGTAGGAGGAGCTGCGGCCCCGACGCGACCATATGCACTGCCTCCCTCCCTCATGCACTGCCTCCCTCCCTCATCCTCCCTTGCTCCTCATCCTCTTCGCTGTCACAAATGATCTGACCTTGGTTGTTGTGCAGCAGAAAATAAAAGCAGCTTTCTCAAGAGGCAATACATGATAAATACACATGTGTGAAAGTCATGCTGATGTTTCTACAGTGACATCATTGTTTCTGGACCTTTCGAACCCGATGCCTCCAAGATTCCTTTTCTGCCCAAGGTTTGCTGCGTTGCTTCCTATAGTATTGTGAGTCTGGTCAGATTACGGCAAGCACAAAGGCTCCATTGAAAGTTGAGCTAGAAAGAAGAATTCGACTGTATCAGAATCAAGGTACTGTATTAGCTCTAGCCAGCTTCTGATGCTTCTTTATGACGCTTCTGGTCAGACATTTACCAGATCTTGGAGTCAGAACGGATTGATCTTGCTGACATATATGACGATATTCCTGCTGTAAGCGAACCATGACATTTGTATATTTGATATGAGCTCATATCTGACAGGACGGGGAGGATGAGGGGAGTGCAGATATTGCGATCAACGTGTGTATGCTTTGTTCTCTCTGCATGAAATGATAGGACCTGACCAGGTCTTTGATGATGAATCTTTTGAACCCCGTTCGCCGCACGAGTGGCTTGATCTCGGTAGAAGAAGAAGCAAGAATGATGGTGGATCGATTTGCCCTTGCATGCTCCAACAAGTCTGAGTTTGATAGCAGATCCGAAAGATAAGATTCAAGTCCCCGCTATTTGTGCAAGGCGGGTGGGAAGCGAGGTGGTTTATCAGGAAGCGTTTGTTTGCGGATACAACAAGCATAAGAGCAAATTCAATGTTGAATTCACGTCTGACAAGATGCAATGCCTTCGGACGAGGCTGCTCATTCTCTTTCGAGCAGAGGATCCTTGGAATTACTCGCGGAGAATCAAATATGCGATTGAAGAACGAAAGCTGACGCTTCAGCACCTGGCGTATAACTTGTACCTCGATTGCATGCCAGTTGACAATCTTCCGTCAATCTCGGGGGAGCAGATGAATCGCATCGTAACCAGGTCCATATCAACCAAGAAGATGAAGGTGGGAGAAGGCTCAGCGTCGGGCAGCAACTTTGCTGTGGTGTCATTGGGGAAAAGTTCAATCACTCTGGTAGATGAAATCAACCTAGAGTTCTCGCGGGCCATGAATCGATGTATCCTGGACAAGGCGTACTCAGACAACCTGAAGCTTCCTCTGGCTTCTCAAAACTCCATCTTGAAGAGCATGCAGCCTACTCCCCTGCTCAAGTTCACCTCGCAGACCTTCGATCGTCCCGAAGGGTACAAGTTCGAAGATGCTCGCTATCACTTCACCTTCAACTCTTTCTTGACTGTCCCTGCTGTGCTCAACTGCGTCAACAAGGTGAAGCTGGAGTGCTTCCGAGTCGCAACGACCTCCCTGTTTGGCTATCCCATAGGCGCGGTGAGGCCCGAGGAGTTCGAGCAGCTGCAAGTAAGTCATCGTGAGGTCGTGAACAAGCTTCTGAGGGAGACGTGGGTCAACGCTGTGAGAAACGCGATCCAAAGCAGCCTGAAGGACATCGGCAAGGGATGGTTCAACTTGCAAGAGCACAGGATGAACGTCTACATCGTCTCCAAGCTCTGCAAGCTCATGACTCAGATCAAGTTCATCATGCAGGACTCGCTCAAGTCCTTGTCCGATCAGTCTGCCGAGTCCTTCGCCAGGCTCTTCCTGGGCTCTCTCAGCTACGAGGTGATCATTGAGGACTTTGACAAGGTCAAGAACATCCCAGTCACCTCCGCCTCCATCGCAGCCAAGAAGGACGAGTCCTCGCAGTCAGGGCTTGAGAGCAAGCGGTCGCCTCTCTTCGTGCTGGACCTGGTGCTGGAGCCGAGCGGGAAGATCAACTACAACATCGAGCTCGACGTGCTCTTTGACATGCCCCTCCTCCTCTACGACGCCGCGATCGAAGTCATGCAAGGCATTCCCCAGCTCGAGCCGCAGATCCTGACGAACCTGTTCTGGCCGGAGAAGCCAAACCTGGGGGCCCCTGATCGTCACGACCCTGTGGTGAGCCGGTGCAAGGAGATGATGGCGGAGGCGCTCAAGGGCGCGAGGTCGCCGCTGGAACGATACCTGGCAGCCCTCGAGCCCCTCCAGAGCGTCATGGCCCTTGAGGTCCCCGCGATCATCAAACAGTGGGAGACGAAGACGCCGGAGGAGATCGCGGCACAGCTTGAGGTGAGGAGGCGAGGGGGAGAGAGCAGAGCAGAGCAGAGCAGAGCAGAGCAGAGCAGAGCAGAGCAGAGCAGAGCAGATGGGATGAATTCATTCGGATCTCTCTCCCTCTTATCTTCTCAGCTCCCACCTTCCAATCTCACTTCCCAGCACCTCCATGTTCTCAGCTGACAACTTGTCGCACATCAGATCTACAAGACAAAGAAGGTCATGATGGATGAAAGGATCCCCAAACAGATCTCCGTCGGAGGATTTTCCATCAACTTGGAACGCATCCGCAAGCATGCGGTCTCGAAATATTCTGATTTGGTTGACGGGCTGGGAGGAGCCATCGCAACGTCGACTCGGAAGAGGGTAAGACAAGAAGATATCAGCTAGATGAAGATGAGGAGCAGAAGCAGGAGCAGGAGCAGGAGCAGGAGCAGGAGCAGGAGCAGGAGCAGGAGCAGGAGCAGGAGCAGGAGCAGGAGCAGGAGCAGGAGCAGGAGCAGGAGCAAGATGAGAGGGGAGGAGGAGGAGGAGGAGGAGTGTAGAGGGGGAGGGTATGGTGTCAATCTCAATTTGCAGGCCGAGGCTGTTGGAAAGTCATACGATGACATCTCGAACATCTTGAAGAAGACTCCAGCTGATGTCGAGGCGATCGCAAAGCTGCGAGAATACATAGCCGAGCTCCCAAACCAGCTGGGAGAGCTGAGAACGCAGGTGACGATTGTCAGAAACAGGAAAGGAGGGGGGTGGGGGGTACTTCCTCCTCGCGCTTTTTCTTCTTTCCGCGTCTCCTGGTTGACTTCTTCGCAGGTTGAGAGCGTGAACAAGGACTACGAGCTGTTGGACAGCCTCTTCTTCAACTACAGCAACGCGGATGTCAAGCAGCGGTGGAACAGCTACGGACTTCCTGGACTGATCCAGAGGAGGATTGAAAACTCCCTAAAGATGCTGGACGAGAAGCAGTCTGAGTACCAACAGGCCATGATCGACGAGCAGGTGGGAGACGGCTGTGAGGATGAAGCTGCTCGTGACTCTTTGTGCCCTCTCAGGAGGAGTTCAACGACGAGATTCAATCGCTCGGTCAGATCATCGCTAACTTCAGCTCGAGGCTCGTGGAGTGGGAGACAGGAGTGGGAGGAGGAGCTCTGGTGGAGGAGATCGCTCAGGAGGTCAAGACCCTGCAGAATCGCCTGCAGGAGGCCACCGTCGACTCGAGGAAGTACAACAGCAGGTAAGGGTTGGCCGATGCTCGCTCCCCCCCACCTTGTCTCCTCCTGCTCCTCCACCACCACCTCCTAACCATCATCCCACAGGGAAGTCATTCTCGCTCGTCCTCAGACGGATTACTCATCAATCCAGAAGTCTTCCAAGGCGTTCGAGCCCTTCGTGACGCTGTGGAGCACAATGGTTGAGTTCCAGAGGAGCAGGAGCTCCTGGCAGACCTGCCCCTTCTCCTCCCTTGACCCCGAGGAGATTGAGAAGAACATCCAGGTGTGGTGGCGGAACTTGTTCAAGATCTCCAAGATGTTCGAGGCGGGAGATCAGAAAGTCTTCGAGATGACGAGGGCGGTCAGGGATGACGTGGACGACTTCAAGAAGTACGTGCCCATGGTCACGGCCCTGAGGAACCCGGGGATGAAGGAGAGACACTGGAAGGCGCTCTCGACCGAGCTCAAGATCGAGCTGCGCTTCGACGACAGCGTGACCCTCAACACCGTCCTCAACGAGATGAAATTGCAGGAGCACATGCCACACATCACCAAGATCGGAGACCTGGCGAGCAAGGAGTACATGATCGAGACCACTCTAGACGGGATGATCGAGAGCTGGAACGGGGTCGACCTGGACCTCAGGGACTACAAGGACACAGGCACCCAAGTACTGGGAGGTCTTGACGAGGTTCTTCAGCACCTGGACGACAACATCGTCATGACTCAGTCCATCGCCTTCTCGCCCTTCAAGGGGCCCTTCACCGAGCGCATTGAGGAGTGGGAGAAGTCTCTTCTGCTGGCCCAGGAGATCCTCGACGAGTGGATCGCTTGCCAGAGGCTTTGGATGTACTTGGAGCCAATCTTCGCCTCTGAAGACATCCAGAAGCAGGTAAGAGCCGTCCTCCTCCTCCCTCCCTCCTCCTCCCCCCTTCTTTCCTCTTCCCCCCTCCCTCACTCCTCCTTCTCCTCCGCACCCCCCCTCCTCTTCCTCTCCCCTTCCCTCCTCGCCCCCCCTCCTCGCCCCCCCTCCCCTATCCTACTGACCCCTGCTCGTTCCCCTGCTGATGCCCTGATACAGCTGCCGGGGGAGAGCAAGAAGTTTCAGCTGGTCGATCGCAACTGGAGGAGGATCAACGACGGTGCCAAGAAGAACCCAGCTGTCCTCGAGGTCTGCAGCAGCCACAAGATTCTCGATCTGTTCCGGGACGGGAACAAGGTACTTGACTCGGTGCAGAAGGGGCTCTCGGACTACCTCGAGACGAAGAGAGCTGGCTTCGCCAGGTTCTACTTCCTGTCCAACGACGAGCTGCTGGAGATCCTGTCGCAGACCAAGGAAGTGACCGCCGTCCAGCCTCACCTCAAGAAATGCTTCGAGGCGATTAACAAGCTCGAGTTCGTCATCGACGGCAAGAACGTCTCCGCTACCGCCATGTACTCGGCTGAGGGTGAGATGATTCCGTTCCCCGAGACGCTGCTGATCCGAGGGAACGTCGAGAGCTGGCTGACGGACGTCGAGAGCATGATGCGGGTCACCCTCCGCCATCGCCTCCGAGCTGCTTCCGACGACTATGCGCAGAAGCCGAGGACACAGTGGGTGTTGGACTGGCCCGGGCAGCTGGTGCTGGCGGGGAGCCAGTACTACTGGAGCATCGAGGTGGAGGAGGCGATCAGCACTGAGGGAGCGCTGGGCCTCAAGAAGTACTACGAGAAGATGCTGGTGCAGCTGGAAGGCCTGGTGTCACTCGTGCGGGGGAAGCTGGACAAGCTCGGGTCGCTGACGCTGGGGGCGCTAATCACGATCGAGGTGCACGCCAGGGATGTCATCCAGCGACTGGAGGAGGTGGGAGTGTCTGACGTGCAGGACTTCGAGTGGATCAGCCAGCTGAGGTACTACTGGGATGGAGAGGACTACTGCAGAGCCAAGGCCAAGTTGCCTCTCTTCTACAACGCGGGGAGAGGAGAGGATATGACGGTGAAACAGGTGCAGGCAGTGTTCATCTACGGGTATGAGTACCTCGGCAACACCCCCCGACTCGTCATCACGCCCCTGACTGACCGATGCTACATCACCTTGACTAGCGCCATGCACCTGTGCCTGGGAGGAGCTCCTGCGGGACCTGCTGGGACGGGTAAGACGGAGACGACGAAAGATCTAGGGAAGGCGCTAGCAAAGCAGACGGTTGTGTTCAACTGCAGCGATGGTCTGGACTACCTGGCAATGGGAAAGTTCTTCAAGGGGCTGGCGTCATCAGGAGCATGGGCCTGCTTCGACGAGTTCAACCGCATCGACATCGAAGTTCTATCCGTCATCGCCCAGCAGGTGATCACCATCCAGCTGGCCACGCAGAGGAAGCAAACCAACTTCATCTTCGAGGGCTGCGACATCGCTCTCGACGTCACTTGCGCCGTCTTCATCACCATGAACCCGGGATACGCGGGAAGGAGCGAGCTGCCGGACAACCTGAAGGCGCTCTTCCGCCCCATGGCCATGATGGTCCCTGACTACGGGCTGATCGCTGAGATCAGCCTCTTCTCCTTCGGTTTCAGCAACGCAAAGCCTCTCTCCCGCAAGATCGTGGCGACGTTCAAGTTGTCATCGGAGCAGCTGTCCTCCCAGGACCACTACGACTTCGGGATGAGGGCGGTTAAGACCGTGATCAACGCCGCAGGCATATTGAAACGAGATCAGCCCAACACCAGCGAGGATACCCTCCTCTTCCGCGCCCTGACAGACGTCAACAAGCCCAAGTTCCTCACCGAAGATCTGACGCTGTTTGACGGCATCATGAATGATCTCTTCCTCGGCGTCGAGAGGCCCGTGATCGACTACGGCGAGCTGATCGAGACCATGAAGTCCAGCTCCGAGACCAGATCCCTCCAGCCCGTCCCCTCCTTCGTCGCCAAGATGATCCAGCTCTACGACACTACCGTTGTGCGGCACGGCCTTATGCTCGTCGGGCCCACCGGAGGAGGCAAGACGATGAACTACCGGACCCTCGCCGCTGCTATGACCTTGTCCAAGGATCTCTTCGACCTCCGAGCTGCCGTTAAGGCCGCGGGCAAGAGCCCAGCTGACAGCTTCTCAGCTCTTCAGCCCAATGACAAGGGTTTGGTAGCGAAGGCGACGTTTAGAGACCATCTCAACGCCTTCATGCACGAGCACCAGCAGCGGCCCTTTGACGGGTCAAACGCTCGCTCAGTCTTCAACTACATCGACAAGGACAAGGATGGCTTTCTGTCCCTGGAGGAGTGGGAGGAGAAACTTCTGATCGACAGCCCAGCTCTGTTCGAGCATGTCAAGTACCACACCCTCAACCCCAAGTCCATCACGTCAGGTCAGCTCTACGGCGACTTTGACGTCAACACCCACGAGTGGACTGATGGGATCCTTGCTGGGATCATCCGAGAGTGCGCGCAAGACACGTCACCTGACAAGAAATGGATCATGTTTGACGGACCTGTGGACGCAATCTGGATCGAGAACATGAACACGGTTCTCGACGACAACAAGAAGTTGTGTCTTGTCAGCGGGGAGATCATCGCTCTTACGCCAACCATGACGATGATGTTTGAAGTTGAAGACCTTGCTGTTGCTTCTCCTGCCACTGTCAGTCGATGCGGCATGATATACATGGAGCCAAGTGCGCTCGGTTTGATGCCTCTCGCGCAGTCTTGGCTCGCCTCCCTCCCGCATTCCTTTGCCTCTACTGAGACGGTCCTGCTTGACTTGCTTCAGCAGTACTTGGAGAACTGTATCACCTTCGTGAGGAAGAACCTGGTCGAGACTGTAGCAACAGTGGACAACAACCTTGCTCAGAGCTTGTTCCGCCTCCTCTCCTCCATCATGCACATCTTCGAGCACGAGGTCGAGCACTTCAAGTCTCAGAACGAGGAGGAGTCCCAGCAGGCCCTCCCGTCAGTCTCAGAGATCGTCGCTCCTCTCTTCTTCTTCTGTCTCACTTGGACCGTTGGCGGCAGCTGCGACCTGGTAGGAAGAAGTAAGTTCAACGAGTACCTCCGCCAGCTTGCCAAGACCAACGAGCATGACAAGTTTCTACCACCCGACGGCAGCATCTACGACTTCTGCTACCTCCAGGACCTCCAGGACTTCGGCTGGAAGCGATGGATGGACACGAGGCCGCCCGTCAAGCTTGACCCCAAGGCTTCCTTCTCCAGCATGATCGTTCCCACCGTTGACACGATCCGTTACGCCAACCTCATCGGCCGCCTCGTCTCGCAGGAGAAGCACGTGCTGTGTGTGGGAGACACCGGGACGGGCAAGACGCTAACGGTGATGGACCAGCTCTTCAACGGCATGCCCAAGGGCTTCGAGACCGTCCCCATGTCGTTCTCTGCCTCCACGAGCGCCAACCAGACGCAGGACATCCTAGACGCCAAGTTTGACAAGCGGAGGAAGGGAGTCTTCGGTCCCCCGGCAGGTTCAAAGTTCATCATCATGGTCGACGATTTCAACATGCCGGCTCGAGAGAAGTACTTCGCTCAACCTCCGCTGGAGCTGCTGCGACAATGGATGGACCATGGCGGATGGTTCGATCGAAAGCTCCTCCAGTTTCGCGAGATTATCGACATCATCTTCGTCTCCGCCATGGGGCCACCGGGCGGCGGCCGCAACCCGATCTCTGCACGCATGACACGCCATTTCAATTTCCTGTCCTTCACGACCATCGAGAACGACTCGCTCAACAGAATCTTCGGCACGATCCTCAAGACGTTCATCTCCGCCAACTTCAACAGCGACGAGTTTCACAGCCTCGTCTCTCCCCTCGTCGAGGCGACTGTCGAGGTCTACGACACCATCGCCGCTGAGCTGCTCCCGACCCCCGCCAAGTCGCACTACACCTTCAACCTCCGCGACCTCGCCAAGGTCTTCCAAGGCGTGCTGGCGGCAGACACCAAGACGATCGGAGACAGCACCTCCCTGATCCGCCTGTGGGCGCACGAGTGCATGAGAGTGTTCGGCGACAGGCTCGTCAACGACGAGGACCGCGACTGGTTCGGGAAGCTCAGAGACCGGCAGCTCTCCCAGCGGTTCGAGCTCAGCTGGAAGGAAGTCTGCCCTGGCGACCGCCTGCTCTTCGCTGACTTCACAGGGAGCGGCGACCCGAAGCCGTACGTGTGGGTGGAGGAGCCGGAGAAACTAGTTCACATCTTCGAGGGGATGCTCGACGACTACAACGTGGAGAACACCAAGAGACTGGACCTCGTCCTCTTCATGGACGCGATTGAGCACATTTCCCGCATCTCCCGCATCATCCGCCAGCCCAAGGGGAACGCGCTCCTGCTCGGGGTTGGAGGGAGCGGGAGGCAGAGCCTGACGCGGCTGGCCTCGTTCGCGGCAGACTACAAGTGCTTTCAGATTGAGATCTCCAAGAACTACGGTATGAACGAGTGGAGGGAGGACCTGCGAACGCTCCTGAAGCTCGCGGGGTGCGAGGGCAAGTCAACAGTCTTCCTGTTCCCCGAGACCCAGATCGTGAAGGAGAGCTTCCTTGAAGACATCAACTCCATCCTCAACTCCGGCGAGGTTCCCAACCTCTTCGACGCTCCTTCCCTCGAGGAGATCAGCGGAGTCGTCCGCCCTATCTGCGCTGCTCAGGGGCTGCCGCAGACCAAGGCTGCGCTCTATGCCTTCTTCCTCTCCCGCGTGCAGGAGAACCTCCACTGCGTCATCTGCATGAGCCCCGGGACTGATACCTTCCGATCTCGCCTCCGCATGTACCCCAGCCTGCTCAACTGCTGCTCCATCGACTGGTTCTCCGAGTGGCCGGCAGAGGCGCTGACCAACGTCGCTCGCAGTCAGCTGTCGACCATCCAGTTTGAGAGCGAGCAGCAGAAGACGGCTGTGTTCGACGTTTGCAGGTGGTGGAGGAAGAGAGGGAGGAGGGAGGGATGGGGAATGAGGTAGGATAGGGGAGAAGGAGAGAGAAGGTGGAAAGGGAGGAATGAGGAGAGAAGAGCAAAGCCAGGGAAGGAGAAGCAGGAGAGGGAGCAGGAGCAGAAGAAGCAGGAGCAGGAGAAGCAGGAGAGGGAGCAGGAGCAGAAGAAGCAGGAGCAGGAGAGGCAGGAGGAGGGACGCGAGGATCAACTAATTTCGGTCCAGGGGCATCCACGAGTCGGTAGCGAGGTTTTCCATCCGCTACTTCAACGAGATGGGGAGATTCAACGCTGTGACGCCGACGAGCTACCTGGAGCTCCTGGCGGCCTACAAGCGGATCATGGAGGAGAAGAAGGAAGAGGTCGGAACCAACAAGAACAGGTTCGTCGTCGGGCTAGAGAAGCTAGCAGAGGCGACGGTGCAGGTGCAGACGCTGCAGCAGGAGATCATAGAGCTGCAGCCTGTGCTGGTGAAGACGAGCGAGGAAGTGGACGCTATGATGATCACCATCACTGCGGACAGGGAGGAGGCGGACAAGACCAAGATCATCGTAGAGGCGCAGGAGAACGAGGCCAACGCCAAGGCAGCCAAGGCCAAGGAGATCGCCGACGATGCTCAAAAAGATCTCGACGAGGCCCTACCGGCTCTCGATGCCGCGACTGCTTCGCTGAGGAGCTTGAACAAGAACGACATCGTCGAGGTGAAGGCGATGAAGAACCCCCCAGCTGGAGTCAAGCTGACGATGGAGGCGGTGTGCATCCTGATGAAGGTGAAGCCTGTCAGGAAAGACGACCCGAATCAGCTGGGCAAGAAGATCAACGACTACTGGGAGCCGGCCTCGAAGCTGCTCAACGATCCCTCTGGCTTCCTCAACAGCCTCTTCTCCTTCGACAAGGAGGCCATGGAGGACAACGTCATATCGCAGGTCACCCCCTACGTCAACGGCGAGCACGGCGAGTTCACCCCCGCGTCCATCGAGAAGGCATCCAAGGCATGTAAGAGCATCTGCATGTGGGTGTTGGCCATGCACAAGTACTACCACGTGGCGAAGATGGTCGAGCCCAAGAAGGAGCTGCTGGCCTCAGCTCAGGCTGAGCTGAGGGAGGTCATGGCGCAGCTGGAAGAGGCGAAGGCGAAGCTCAAGGCTGTGAACGAGAAGCTGCAGAGGCTGCAAGACGATCTGAACGCGGCGGTGGCGAAGAAGGAGGAGCTGGGGAGGAAGAGCGAGGAGTGTAACATCAAGCTAGGCCGAGCTGAGAAACTCATCGGGGGCCTTGGCGGCGAGAAGCTGAGGTGGATGGCGACGGTTGAACAGCTGTCAAAGGACTTCGCGTGCATTGTGGGGGACGTGCTGGTCGGGGCGGGGACGGTGGCGTACCTGGGAGCGTTCACTGGGGACTACAGAGGATGGATGGTGCAGGAGTGGAACGAGTTGCTGCTGCAAAACTCGATCCTCCATACCGACAACTGCACCATTCACACTTCGCTCTCTGACCCCGTGAGTATCCGAGCCTGGCAGATCGCGGGGCTGCCGAGCGATCCCCTGTCGACTGAGAACGCTCTCATCATGCAGAAGGCGAGGCGATGGCCGCTGATGATCGACCCCGAGACGCAGGCAAACTCGTGGGTGAAGAACATGGAGAAGGTGAACAACGTCGAGGTAGTCAAACTCACTTCCTCCAACTACCTGCGGTCCCTCGAGAATGGGATCAGGTTCGGTCGGCCGGTGATGATCGAGAACATTCTGGAGGAGCTCGACCCGGCTCTAGAGCCTCTCCTCCTCCGCATCACATTCAAGCAGAACAACCAGGAAATGATCCAGCTGGGCGACTCTACGGTCCCCTGGCACCCTGACTTCCGCTTCTACATGACGACGAAGCTGCGCAACCCGATCTACAAGCCCGAGACAGCCGTCAAAGTCACCCTCCTCAACTTCGCCATCACCTCCGACGGGCTGCAGCAGCAGCTGCTGGGGCTGGTGGTGGCGGAGGAGCGGCCGGACCTGGCGGAAGCGAAGAACAACTTGGTGGTGCAGAATGCGGCGATGAAGAAGCAGATGAAGGAGATTGAGGATACGATCCTCCGTATGCTGTCGGAGGCGTCGGGGGACATTCTCGACGACGAAGGGCTGATAAACACGCTTGCGGCGTCGAAGAAGACGTCGACGGAGATCAACGAGAAGCTGGCGCAGGCTGAGATCACAGAAAAGGAGATCGACACGACGAGGGTGGAGTACCTTCCCGTCGCCTTCCGCTCCTCCCTCCTCTATTTCTGCGTATCCGATCTCTCGATCATCGACCCCATGTACCAGTACTCTCTTGGCTGGTTCATGAACCTCTTCCGCATGGGGATTCAGAACTCAGAGATGTCTCCCGACGACCTGGAGCAGAGGCTTCGCAACATCATCGACTACTTCACTCACAGCGTCTACGTGAACATCTGCCGATCGCTCTTCGAGAAGCACAAGCTCATGTTCTCCTTCCTCCTCTGCATCCGCATCATGCAGACCGAAGGGAAGATAGACAGTGATGAGTTCAAATTTCTCTTGTCAGGTACTTTTATCTCTCCCTCTTCCTCTCCCTCTCCCTCTCCCTCTCCCCTCTCCCTCTCACACTACCTCAGGACCAACCTCCAACTCGACCGACGGAGACAACCCAGCGCCTGACTGGCTTACCAATAGCTCATGGGTCGAGCTATCGGGCATGTCGCTACATCTTCCAGCCTTCCATGGCCTCTCCGACATCTTCAGAGGGCACCTCTCCTCCTTCAAGGAGATGTTTGACAGTTCCTCCCCGGAAAGCTTCGTCCTTCCAGCTGACCTTCCTTCCCGCCTCTCGACCTTCCAGCGCATCCTCGTCCTCCGCGGCCTTCGCTCTGACAAGGTCACCAATGCCGTTCAGGCTCTAGTCTCCTCTGAGCTCGGCCCTGCTTTCATCGAGCCTCCTCCCTTCGACCTCCTGCGATGTTACCAGGTGCGGTGCTCATGTTACCATCTCCATCTCCATCTCCATCTCCATCTCCATCTCCATCTCCATCTCCATCTCCATCTACCCATCGCCATCATCAACTCCACCATCATCATCATCATCATCGTCGTTGACACATCTACAGGAATCAACTGTCAAGACCCCCCTGATCTTCGTCTTCTCCCCCGGGTTCAGCCCCCTCTACTTTTCCTCCTTCCCTTCTGACGCCTCCCCCAGCTCTGACCCAGCAGCAGACCTCTACAAGTTCGCCGACTCCATGTAACTCCATCCCCTCCCCTCCTTCCCCACCTTCTCCTCCCTCCTATCTCCTCCTCCCCCTCATCTCCTCCCCTCCCTCATCTCCTCCCCCTTCCCTCTCCTCCCCTCCCCTCCCATCCTCTTGCCTGTTGTGCTCATGACGAGCTGGGCAGGAACATGACGAGGAAGCTGGACTCGATCTCGCTTGGGCAGGGGCAGGGGCCGATAGCTGAGAACCTAATCAAGACGGGGCAGGACTCGGGCGGTTGGGTTTTCCTGCAGAACTGTCACCTTGCCGTCTCCTGGATGCCCCGACTGGAGAAGATCGTAGAGACGACAGATGAAGAGCTAGTACACCGGTGACCTGATAAGCTCCATGCTCGCACATTGCTGACTCTCTCCTCCTCCTCCTCCTCCTCCTCCTCCTCCTCCCTTCTCCTTCTTAAATTCCCCTTGTTTCTACGTATTTTCCTCCCCATCCTTATCCTCTTCGTCCTCTTCCTCCTATCTCATCCTCCTCCACCATTTCCTCATTCTCCTCCTCAACTTCATCTCCCTCCTCCTCACAACTACTTTGCTTCAACGTCGCAGGGACTATCGTCTCTGGTTGACATCCGGACCCTCCAAGGCTTTTCCTGTCTCAGTCTTGCAAGATGGCGTGAAGATGACGATTGAGCCGCCCAAGGGGCTCAAGGCGAATCTGAATAGGTGGGAGGGGGAGGAGGAGGAGGAGGAGGAGGAGGAGGAGGAGGAGGAGGACTAAACCATGGAGAGAGAGAGAGATTGAGAGAGAAAGGAAGAGGGGGGCGGGGGCGGGGGGGCTGGTAGGAATGTCATAAGAGATCATCCTGACAAGGCAATAGGTCTTTCTTGCAGTTCGATGATGAGTATCTTGA